GATTGGAGAAGGTGGAAGGGAAGGGTCTGAAGAACAAATTCGTAAGAACCCAGAATTCTGGGTTTTAAAACCCATAAATCTGGGTTTGTACGAACCTAGATCTGGGAAGAATGAGGAGAGGAAGGGAGAAAAGGGAAAGAATGAAAAGGAAAAGAAAGACATCGGAGAAGGTAGAAGGGAGAAAGTGCTGGAGAAAAGAGAGGGAGGGAGAGGAAGAGCTCAATGATGGAGTTGAGGAAAATGAACGGATAAAGAGAAGGGGATCGGAGGAAGAAGATGAAGATGATAGGGGTATAAGTGGTATAAGTGTAATTTTAAAAACTATTTTTAATATTAAATAATTGTAATGTGTTCTGAAATTTGAGTTGGCTTTTTTTTTTCTTTTATCCACGTATGCTAATTGTATAGCGTGTTATTACCACGTCTTAACCAAAATGCCATTTTGAATTGATTTAACAGCTATATTGGCACTCAATTGACTGGAATTAAAATTGTGTAATTTTTAAAATTAAGAAATTAAAAAAATAAAAATAATTATAAAATTAAAAATACATAAAATTTTAAAATTAAAAAATTAAAATTGCATTTAACTTTTATGTTATCTCTCCGTTATGATTCTACTAGGCAATTCAATGTCTAAGGAGTAGTTTCTCGTTGAATGTGTATCATGGCTGTTCTCATAATCGATGCACCGTGCGATTGTTATTATCATTTCTATAGAAAATGGCATTTCTCTCTGAGCATCTGCGTTGATTAGAGATTTTTGGGTACCGTTTTGGGGCAAAGGAATAAGTAAAGCTCATGTATATTAAAGACTTTCTTAGTAATTGAATTGAATTTTTGTTTTTTGTTAGGAACAATTACATCCAATAGTATTTGTGTTTGGTATTGGGAATCATGGATGAGAGAATGAGGGCTGTTGCTGAAAGGGGAGACATTGATGCCCTGTATGCACTAATTCAGGAGAATTCATATGTTTTAGAGGACATTGATAAATTTCCTTTCATTGACACTCCACTACATATAGCAGCCTTTAAAGGGCACATTGATTTTGCTATGGAAATGATGAACTTAAAGCCATCATATGCAAGGAAGCTAAACCCAGCTGGGCTAAGCCCCATGCATCTTGCCCTGTTAAATTGCCAAATTCATGTACTAC